GCCACGTCCTGCCTCCCTGTGCCGCCCGGTCCCCGTGCCCGCGACCCAGCTCCGATGAGCGGGCCTCGGCTAGAGAAGTTTTCATGGGGCGCAGCCCTTCTCCCCGGTGTGGTGCTGGCCAATGGGGAGCGGGTGCTTGTGGTCTTCCAGTGCGAGTGTGTGTGGCATATCCAGGGGGGGCATACCCAGTGCCCCCAAAGTTTTAGCGGCTTTACCGCGCTTTCCGGTTGTGCTCCGGTCCTCCCTGGAGTGTGAGCTTCTCGGTGAGAGCCGGGAGGGCGTGCTCCGGCCAGTGGGCGTGGACATCCTGCCGGGATGGCGGAAGGGCTGTCCGGAGGTGTGCCCCGAGCCTGAGCAGACGCTCATCCATCGCCTCCTGGGCAAGATTGTGCCAAGCCTTGGGGAGGCGCCTTCCGGGAGGGTGTACTTTTCTATGGGGTGGGGGTGGGGGGATGAGGAGGTATTGACGCTGGAACCCATTGAACTTTTCAGTGTAGAGGGAGGTTGTGTGAGTTGCTATGGAAACCAGAGTGATTCTGGTTGGGTGCGGGGAGAAGGGAAGCAAGCAAAGAATGCAGAACACTTGAACTCGCTCTTTCAAAGATGAGTGGGAATGAGGGTTTTCTTTGAGTTCGTTTGTAATTTTCTGGAAACAGCAAGGAGTCTGGTGTGGCTTGAAGGAATGGTATGTGGCACGGGATGGCAGGCTGCGAGTCTGGTGGTATGCGTGAGATCGGGAGTGGGCTTGCGAGCCCTACCGACGACCAGAGTAGATTTCGAAGGTTTTAAAAACAGGATCTAGGCGTGGCAAACTTGTTTTAGTAAGGTAATAGGCAGTGGTGAGGAGAATGTGTCAGCATAAGGGCCATCTGGAGGCCCGGGGAGATTGTTACAGTCCGGGTCCTGCCCCCATGGGGTGCAGAGTCTACCAGAGAGGGTGAAACAAGCCACAGTGCAGTACAGTGAGCGCCTCCGGTTACACACCCCTCCCACACTCAGCTGTCTCCCCCACACTCACCCCCACCACTAGGTATTCAAGCGCATACCCATGCCTCTCATCCTGTTGCCTCAACCCCACAGTGTCTCCTCTGTTGTCCTTTTGGCAGACTTCCTGCTTATTGTTCCTATCTCGGGTCAAGTATGATCGCTGCTGTCTCTCCATTGTCCCTAAGCAGAGTTAGATCTGTTTCGTCTGCTCTGCCTCAAGTCTTTTATAAATCACACAACACAGATTTTGTTAAGACATTTATCTGTTGTCCTGGAATTACTTGCAAGTCTTATCTCCTCTCAGGATATAAACTCTGCCCTCGCCGGTTTGTCTCAGTGGTTAGAGCGTCGGCCCTCGGACTGAAGAGCCGTGGGTTCAGTTCTGGTAAAGGGCATGTACCTCGTTGCAGGCCTGATCCCGGGTTGGAACATGTGGGGCGTGTTCGAGAGGCAATCAATTGATGTGTGTCTCTCACATCAATGTTTCTCTTTCTCCTTTTCTTCTCCTCCCATCCACTTTCTCTAAAATCAATGGAAAAAAATATCCTCAGGTGAGGATTAACAAAACCAAACCAAAAGAATATAAACTCCAAGAGAGCAGGGACTGTGCCTTAATCTATCTCTATATCCTGAACACCTCGTGTAATGCTCAGCTGACCCTTTGAGGGCACACATTGAAGGTTCGTTATATTGACTCATCATGTATGTGTGTTGTATTAGGACTTTCTGTGCAAGTGGTAGAAATTCAAGTCAAACTGGCTGAAAGAAAATAATTGATTGTCTTGTGTTACTGGAGTAAGCTTGGCTATAAGGATGGTAGGATCCAGGGGATCAAAGGATGTTACAGGGAATTGTATTTGTCCTATTATGGTTTTGCTTTCCTTTGAGTTTGGTTGCCACTTTTCACATGGACCAGCACCTGGCAAATGAGTGGGCCTCTTTCCCCAGAGCTATGAGGAACTAAGGGGAGGTAGGGTTACTCCACCTAATTAACACCTAATTAGAACAGACAAGCATGGGTTTGCAAAGATACCTTGGAACATTAAAAACATAAGCCCACTCTGTTTATATGTATTTGTAAGCATGTGATCGGTTATCTGTTTATATGTGTAACTACTTATCAATCCATCGTAAACATATCCAGATTTATTTTTCTTCCTCCTTCTTTTCCTCTCTCCATTCTTTTTTTCCCTTAAGTTGATTTTTTTAAAATTAAATCTTTATTGTTCAGATTATTACACATTAGTTACTCTTTTTTCCCACCATAACTCCCCTCCACCCAGTTCCCACCCCACCCACCGCCCTCACTCCCCACCCACTGTCTTAATCCACAGGTGCACGATTATTGTCCAATCTCTTCCCTCACCCCCCACATCCCTTTCCAGCCCCAAGAATAGTCAGTCCATTCCCATTCTATGTCCCTGATTCTATTACAATCACCAGTTCATACTGTTCATCAGATTATTTATTCACTTGATTTTTAGATTCACTTGTTGATAGATGTGTATTTGTTGTTCATAATTTGTATCTTTACCTTTTTCTTCTTCTTCCTCTTCTTAAAGGATACCTTTCAGCATTTCATATAATACTGGTTTGGTGGTGATGAACTCCTTTAGCTTTTCCTTATCTGTGAAGCTCTTTATCTGACCTTCAATTCTGAATGATAGCTTTGCTGGATAAAGTAATCTTGGTTGTAGGTTCTTGCTATTCATCACTTTGAATAGGTTGGCTCCTCCTGAATAAAAGAACTAATCAAAATAAGGCTTATTTTCTAACTTCATTTGTCCCTGGGTGTGGACAACAAATGACACTAATCAGATTGACATAAACGATTTAACCTTTGTTTAGGGAGGCAAATGCAAAGCATTTACTCCCAAGTGTCATTGGTTTAGGGAAGATAGGATTTCTGCTCAGTTTCCCTATTCTACTTGTCCCAGCTTACTGGTCTATTATGCATTCAATTTTCTTAAAATGTATTCTGGCACAGGAGAAAGTTGTTTTGCTGTACACAGGTAGTTTAACCCCTATATAACTGGGCTTGGACCTCTGCCCAGCAAACTGCAGTCTATAAGTTCAATATGCAGCCTCCGGTTCTTCTAACCCAACGAGGTTTTGGGCAGTCTCTGAGTCAGACTTCTCCTCTCTTGGAGAATTTCAAAGTCCTGATGGCTCCCAGATCCAGGGAGAGTGCCTTTTTGTTAACCCTTAGGGCCCTGCTTCCCCCGATCCCGGACGAGCCCCCAGCTTGAATAAAAGACCCTTTGCTTTTGCATCGGAAAAGGCTCCCTGGTCGTGGATTATTGGGGACCCCGAACTCTGGGCATAACAGTATGATCGCTGCTGTCTCTCCATTGTCCCTAAGCAGAGTTAGATCTGTTTCGTCTGCTCTGCCTCAAGTCTTTTATAAATCACACAACACAGATTTTGTTAAGACATTTATCTGTTGTCCTGGAATTACTTGCAAGTCTTATCTCCTCTCAGGATATAAACTCTGCCCTCGCCGGTTTGTCTCAGTGGTTAGAGCGTCGGCCCTCGGACTGAAGGGCCGTGGGTTCACTTCTGGTAAAGGGCATGTACCTCGTTGCAGGCCTGATCCCGGGTTGGAACATGTGGGGCGTGTTCGAGAGGCAACCAATTGATGTGTGTCTCTCACATCAATGTTCCTCTTTCTCCTTTTCTTCTCCTTCCATACACTTTCTCTAAAATCAATGGAAAAAAAATATCCTCAGGTGAGGATTAACAAAACCAAACCAAAAGAATATAAACTCCAAGAGAGCAGGGACTGTGCCTTAATCTATCTCTATATCCTGAACACCTCGTGTAATGCTCAGCTGACCCTTTGAGGGCACACATTGAAGGTTCGTTATATTGACTCATCATGTATGTGTGTTGTATTAGGACTTTCTGTGCAAGTGGTAGAAATTCAAGTCAAACTGGCTGAAAGAAAATAATTGATTGTCTTGTGTTACTGGAGTAAGCTTGGCTATAAGGATGGTAGGATCCAGGGGATCAAAGGATGTTACAGGGAATTGTATTTGTCCTATTATGGTTTTGCTTTCCTTTGAGTTTGGTTGCCACTTTTCACATGGACCAGCACCTGGCAAATGAGTGGGCCTCTTTCCCCAGAGCTATGAGGAACTAAGGGGAGGTAGGGTTACTCCACCTAATTAACACCTAATTAGAACAGACAAGCATGGGTTTGCAAAGATACCTTGGAACACTAAAAACATAAGCCCACTCTGTTTATATGTATTTGTGAGCATGTGATCGGTTATCTGTTTATATGTATAACTACTTATCAATCCATAATAAACATATCCAGATTTATTTTTCTTCCTCCTTCTTTTCCTCTCTCCATTCTTTTTCTTTCCTTTTTTACTTTTTATTATAAAAAACTATTTCCTTAGTATCATTTGTATTTTCCCAGTGTGTCATAAACATTTAGAAAATATTTGGTAATATCACATGATCTCAGTCATTTGTGGAATATAATGAACAACATAAACTGATGAACAAAAATAGATCCAGAGACAGAGAAGCATGGAATAGACGCCAAACTTCAGAGGGAAGGCAAACGGGGAGGAGGAGGGGTGTGGCTGGGCGGTAAAAGATCAACCAAAGGACTTGTATGCATGCATATAAGCATAACCAATGGACACAGACACCAGGGCGGTGAGGGCATGTGCTGGGGGGGTGGGGGTGGCCTGGGAGAGGTCAGTGGGGGGACATATGTAATACTGTATGTAATACTTTAAACAATAAAGAATTTTAAAAATATTTGGTAATTTAGGTTCCAAACAATGACCATATAGTATTATATTGGTTGATATATCTCTTAAATCTCTTTTAATATATAGGTTCTCCCCCTCCCTTTTTAAAAATTAAGACTTTACTTTTTTTAGAGCAGTTTTAGCTTTATAGAAAAACTGAGGGGAAGATACAGAGATGTCCAATAAACCCCCTACTCCCACACATGTACAGCATCCCCTAATTGTCATTATTTCCTACCAGAGTCATACATCTTTTGTATATTTATTTGTACCACTAGAGGCCCAGTGCTTGACATTCGTGAACTGGGGGGAGTCCCTCAGCCCGGCCTGCGCCCTCTCACAGTCTAGGACCCCCGGGGGGTCCTTAGCGCTGCTGCTGCTGCAGAGGCAGGAAGGCTCCCGCCACCGCTGCGCTCGCCAGCCATGAGCCTGGCTTCTGGCTGAGCAGTGCTCCCCCTGTGGGAGCACACTGACCACCAGGGGCCAGTCCTGAGTTGAGTATCTTCCCCCTGGTGGTCAGTGCGCATTGACTGGTTGTTTTGCTATTCGGTCTATTTGCATATTAGGGTTTTATTGTATAGAATGTAACATTGTACATGTTGTACATTCTCTGTTCTCTGCCAATCCAGTTTTTTAAAAAGTCTCTACGAGGTCTTCTAATTTCTCTAGTCAGAAACAATCCCTCTCTTGAACTCTTGTGGCGTTTTTTTAACCTACATTTTACTATTTAAGTGGCAGAAATGGTATTTTCAGATATGGCCAGTATTGTAACTAATTTTTCTTTTTTTCTCTTATAAAATCAATTAATAAATGATTGCTTATCTCAGAATTGTCAGTTTTCTGCATTAGCTCACATGCCCAAGAAACCCTAAGAAAAAGAATAAAAAAATAGTTTAAAATATATTGCTCTTTTTTAAGCTCACTGCCTTTTTTTATGGCTTTGAATATTTGACCATTTGGGGGAGGTTTTGTATAGTAATTTAGAATTTAATTATACTAACTGTGCTTTTACTTGCTTAAAATGTATTTGAACTACTGTGCTAAATTTACTATTTTTTTCTTTCAGCCTGTTTGAATTTTCTGAAGTTGTGCAAGATAAAATATTACAATTATTGCCTTATTCACAATGTACAGGTGAGTTGCTGGATATTAGTCATGTTCTTTGTTATTGGAACCATCTAGCAAATTATGTGAATTAATAAAGTATCCTATATATTATAGAGGGACTTTATCATCCAAACTGGTGATCCTACAGGGACTGGCCGTGGAGGAGAGTCTGTTTTTGGGTAAGTTCTTTTATTTTTAAATGAGTAAAATAGAGTTGTCTCTTTATATTATTTAACTAGCATATTTCAGTCTGCATTTTAAAATATGGTTCAAATTAGATTTTTTCCAAGTTCCTGCAGCAGTCGCCAACCTTTCGGACCTCATGGACCACCGGTTGGCGACCACTGGAAGTGAGGAATATTATGAATCATACTGATATTTCTATAAAGAAATGGCAACCCTATATGTTACTAGTACTTCTCTATTTTGTGTTGAGAATACTTATATTTTATTACCTTATTGTATGTATTTTCAGTCAACTGTATGGTGATCAAGCAAGGTTTTTCGATGCAGAAAAAGTACCAAGAATTAAGCACAAGAAGAAAGGCACTGTGTCCATGGTGAACAATGGCAGTGATCAGCATGGATCTCAGGTTAGGAAGTGGGTGAAAAGATGGGTTTTGCTTTAAAATGAGGGACTATAAGGATCCTACAAAGTTAGAATTACCCAGTAAGGATAACATTTCAATCAAAGATATTTGTTAAAGGAATAATATTACACTCTTTTCTCTATATAACAAAAATTATATGACCTCACAAAAAAAGAAAAAAATTATTTTGTTCTTTTAAATGCAAGGCATGTTCATTGTGAGAAATTTAGAAAACACTGAAAAGTACAAAGAAGAAAATAACATTACCCCCAATGCTACCATTCATGGATCATCACTGTTCACATTGTGGCCCGTTTCCTTTCTGTATTTATTACTTATTTCAAAACGGGCCATGTTGAGCACTTTACATTCTTTGCCTTCTTTAATACTCACTGAAACCCCATTTGGGGAAGATGCTTTTATTCCCTCACAGTTTACATGTGAAGAAACTGAGCCTTGCTTTGGCCAAGTATTTTAAACAATCAGAGCAACATCTATGTATGTGTTGACATTTTATGTATAAACTTTTTACTTACTACTAGTAACAAGTGGGTAAGGATCCATGAAGTTAATATAGAATCTTTTGTGTATTTTTTTGTCAGTCTGTTAACTATATATATATACACACACACACACACACACACACACACATACACTGAGTGGCCAGATTATTATGACCGGCCAGATTATTATGACCACCCCATCAGTACTTCATTGACACTTCCAAAAATACTGAATATTGAAAACTTCCTAAGCAAATACTCTCAAGGTTTTATTATTATTATTATTATTTGCATAACTAATTCACTTCATTGTACTGATGGGGTGGTCATAATAATCTGGCCGGTCATAATAATCTGTGTATGTATGTGTGTGTGTGTGTATATAAATATATATATACAGTGGGGCCTTGACTTACGAGTGTCCCGACTAACGAGTTTTTTGAGATACCAGCTGTCTCTTGGCTGATTTTTTGCATTGAGTTGATAGAGTAATTTGAGTTAACGAGCTCCTTAAGGAGCTCCTTAACGAGCTCGGTCTTGGAACGCATTAAACTCGTAAGTCAAGGCCCCACTGTGTGTGTATATATATATTACATATATATGCATACAAACACATGCTTTTGTGTTCTGTGTTTTTCTTTATAGTTTCTTATTACTACAGGAGATAATCTAGATTACCTTGATGGTGTTCATACAGTGTTTGGTGAGGTGACAGAAGGCATGGACATAATTAAGAAAATTAATGAGACCTTTGTTGACAAGGATTTTGTACCATATCAAGATATCAGGTATGGTTACAATTTACTATCTGAATGTACTAGAATGTTTTAATACTGTGATGTTTGACATGGTAGTGGTGATGGTATGTGTAAGACTGTTTCTTGAATAAAGACTATAAGAATCTTTATGTTTTTACATTTTTATGTTTTTACACTTGTACTAATTATTCATAATTGCATATTCTGGGAGGAATTATTAAGCCTTTAATTTAGTATTTAAAAATGCAGGTTATTGAGAAATACAGCAAAAGTACTAAGAATTAGACATATTATTTTAGAGTAATGCAGAGTAATAAATATAATGTCAAACAATCAAAAACAGTAACATTAATTGTGACAGTGTACTCTAGGACCCTCCTGGTGCAATAAAATTTAGGAGGTTATGGTTTTTTGGCTTTAAGGATACATAGACATTTGTTAAAATATTTGCAAAAAGTAAAACAGATTCTGAAGCAATGTAACCGTAACCTTTGACATGGATTTATTTTGTAAGGATTAATCATACAGTGATTTTAGATGATCCATTTGATGACCCTCCGGATTTATTAATTCCTGATCGATCACCAGAACCTACTAGGGAACAACTAGATGTAAGTTGAGTCCTCTTGTGATTGAATGTCCATGCATATTAATGCTTTGCATAGCTTTTGCTTTTTAGCCTATTAAAACATTTCTTCAGAATGCCTATCTTGCTTGATCAATTATTCTAGGATAAGTGTAGAGTTCTTTTTCTTTTCTATGGAGGCAATTCATTTTTCTAGCTATGCTTTTATCATAATATCCTTTCTTCAGTTTCTGTTCCACCAGAAGAGCCTTAGCTCTGGAAGCTTATATGATTACTTTGGGAAAATGTTTTGTTTTTTTTAAATATCCTAACTAAAATTTCAAGAATTTTAGGCTAAATTAAACTATCAACCTTTAAAACAATTTTTCAGCTGGGACATACTCTGAAGCCAGGCTAGAACCCAGAAATTTCTGTGGAATAATGCACAGTTTTTCCTCAGATATTTTAAAGTATAAATTTCTGCTTATGAGACTTCCCTTAAAGCTAAATTTATCTTTATAATTGGATTTGATGCTTAATTTCTAGCACCATTTGTCTTCTGCATTCAACAGTTAGTTGGATACAGATAGTTTCTATATAAATGTTTATTTTGAGGTAACAATAAATTAGAAGATTAGTCTGGCTAATAATATTGAATTAATTTACATTAATTTTCAGAGGTAAGTTTCACATACGTGAAACAAATGAAGTAATTCTATTCTAATGCATTTGATGGAACTAAGAATAAAGCATAATATCCCAGATTTTTCTGTTTTCTTTTTTTAAAATTATATATGCATATATATGAGAAACTTTTGTCTTACAGAGTGGTCGAATAGGAGCAGATGAAGAAATTGATGATTTCAAAGGAAGATCAGCTGAAGAAGTAGAAGAAATAAAGGCAGAAAAAGAGGCCAAAACTCAAGCTATTTTATTAGAAATGGTAAGTAATTTTATTTGTTCAAATAGTTGTTCAGTAATATATTTAATACGTACTTACTGTTGGTTTATCTATTTCTGGCTTTTTGATAGTCTTAAAATATAAACATTTAGCTAAGAGTTTTTTTCTGGATTAGATTTTGTGTAAAATAATAATACATGAAAGTAAACAAATTTGATTCCACTATTAATAAAGTGTCAAGTGCCTTTTTAAAAAATGGGGAATGGATATCCAACTTACAAATATTTAATGGATTTTAATAGTTATACTCATCATTTTAAAAGAGCATTTCTTGGATTCAATTTTATATATATATATTAACAAATAATTCTTTGTACAGCTCAAGTATTGAGATTAAATATTAGAATAGTAGTTACAGGATAAAATAAACCTTGGTAGAACTGAGAGAGAGAAACATCGATATGAGAGAAACATTGCTTGCCTCATCCCTGACCAGGATCAAACCAGAAACCTAGATTTGTGCCCTGCCCAGGAATCCTATCTGAAACCTTTTGGTGCCTGGGACGATGCTCCAACCAACTGAGCCACCCGCCCAGGGCTCCTAGTCTGTTTTAAAATTCATATTAGCATCATCAGTCTGAAGGAATAAGTATTAAAGACTATAATTCAGGAATAACATTATTGAATTAAAAAATTGAAATTAATACATTTTAATAAGCACACAGTATCAGAGAACATTGACCCAGAACAGTCAACACCAAGTCAAATGATAAGAAAAATCCTTTGAGCAACAACTGGGCAACAAGAATAAGTGACATATAAGGAAAAGAACATTAGATTATCATCAGAATTTTCAGCAGCAAAAGTATAAGAAGTTCATGCCTGAAGAAAATGGGCTAATGTGTTTTTTTAAATTTTTATTTGCAGATAATTTTAAATTTATGGAACATTTTCAAAAAAATAGTGTAGAGGACTTCTATATACTTTTTACCCAGACTTACCAATTTTTAACTTTGCCACATCTGCCTGATCATTCATTCTCTCTCCTCTCCCGCTCCTTTCCCTCCTCTCTCTTTTTCTCTGTTCTCCCCCTCTTTATATTTTTGATGATATATGTACATGCACATATTATTTTTTCTGGACCATTTGAAATTAAATTGCAAACATCCCCTTTACCTCCTACATCACTATGTATTTCCTAAGATCAACATTTTTTTTTTTAAGATCAACATTATTATTCTACATATTCACTGTACAGTTATTGAAATCAGGAAATTAAATATCAATAGAAATTGCAGTTCATGCTACAATTTTGTAAGTTATTTCGGTAATATTCTTTATAGCTCTGCCCCTCCCTACCCCACCCCAGTGTAGAATCCAGCTTTCAAAACCTGTCAAGCCCAGAAGGGTGATGCATATCTTTGTGTTTAATAGGATACATCAGTGAAAAAAAGATTTGCCTTTGTGGAACTTATATATTAGTGTAAAACCCATTATTATTAACTAAAGTCTATAATTTACATTAGGATGAACTCCTTGTGTTGTACATTCTGTGGATTTTGACAGATGCCATGTATCCACCATTATAGTATCACACAGAATAGTTTCATTACTCCCCTAAATCTTCTTCGTTCCACTTCTTCATCTCTATCTCCCACAACCTTTGATAACTACTGATCTTTTTTGACTGTCTGCATCATTTTTGTCTCTTTTCAGAATGTCATATAATTGGAATCATACAGTATGTAGCCTTTCAGACTGGCTTCTTTCATTTAGCATTATGTATTTAAGGTTCTTCCATGTCTTTCGATTGGTAATGTACCACAGTTGGTTTATCCATTCACCTATTAAAATACCAGTTGCTTCTAAGTTCTAGCAAGTATGAATAAAGCCGTTGTAAACATTTGTGTGTACATTTTTGTATGGACCTTTTTTTTAACTCATTTCGATAAATACCTAGGAGTGCAATTGCTGGGTTGTATGGTTTAGCCTTGTGAGAAACTGCCAAACTAGCAATAAATGAGAGTTCCTGTTGCTCTGTCTCGTTTCCAGCATGTGGTGGTGTCAGTGTTTTGGATTTTAACCATTCTAATACATGAGCCTGTCCTTTTTGGTCCTCACTATTATCTTCTATTTCCTAAGCACATCAGTTTCTCTTACTTATTTGTGTGTAAGTAATATAATGATAATTTAACTGGTGTTTTGCATTATCAACCAGTGTTTTGAACTTTATAACTGTTAAAAGTATTTTAAATTTCCTTGTTATCTTTGACAAGTAGTATAGTAAGTATTTTCCTAACATTAAAGTTGTTTATTTGTGCTTCCTTGAGATGTGATATTTCTGCACTGTAGGTGCTTCTGGCGATTTTACTGATTTGCTCTTCCCCATATGTGCTGTGATACTTCTTACTGGACATAGGTGGTGCTTGTCTTTTATAGGCTTTGAAGACACTGAGCAGATCTTACTGGTGGTGTTTCTTCTTGCTGTTTCTGATTTTCATGATTTCCTTTTGTTTTAGCATGTTTATTGAAAGAGGAAATGCTTTATGTGATAATCATATGAGAAATAATCTTAGAGTTTTTGAATGAAGGAATATTGTTCTCTCCATCTAAAGGCCATGGGAAATAATAATTTTCCCACAATGAAACCAATACCACCATGGTTTTCTCTCACTGTTGCCCTCACTGCTGCCTCAGTGAGAAGTGGAATGCTCTGCTCAGAGCAGTGGTTGACTGTGCAGTTGACTTCAATGTGACTGAAGGAGATGCTAGTGAGGGTGAGAGTAAAAAGCTAGAAACACTATCCAGGAATTATTGCTGTTCCATATTGAACAATAATGTGGAAAGAACTGATATTACTAATCACATAAGGCTAGATTCAATAAGATAAGATTTTGCAAAAGTTTAAAATCAAGCAAAACTAAATAATATATTGCTTCGGAATACATACCTATCTGGTAAAACTCTAAAGCAGTGGTTCTCAACCTTCCTAATGCCGCGACCCTTTAATACAGTTCCTCATGTTGTGGTGACCCCCAATTTCATTGTTACAAATTGAACATAATTAAAGCATAGTGATTAATCACAAGAACAATATGTAATTATATATTTTTCCGATGGTCTTAGGCGACCCCTGTGAAAGGGTCGTTCGACCCCCAAAGGGGTCGCAACCCACAGGTTGAGAACCGCTGAATTCTAAAGATATGCAAGGGGCTGGTCAACAAGGAAAACCAAGAAGCAGGATATTCATTATATCTGGTAAGAGAGGCAGAGGGATAATGGGATCAGGAGACATTTTAGTTCTTAAGCTAGTTGTCATCATGGCTGTTTTTTATGTTTATGCTTCATAACTTAGATATACTTTACATAAATTCCGTTTTGATATATCAAATAGGAAAAAGAAAAAGTGAAGATAAAACCCAGATAAACTTGGAGTCAAATCGCAACTCAGCTGCCTATCACTGTGTGGCTTTGGGCAAGTTAGTTATTTAACCTTTTTGAATTCCACTTTCACAAAATGGATTATTATTTTAAGCATTATTTTAAGAATTGTCTGTAATGAATATTGAGGTGTTATTGAGATTTCTTTTTCTTCTGATCCTGCAGTTTATAATGTAAATTTAGATGTTTTAGGAAAATTGGCATTTTGATGTGGATAGAGTATTTAGAATGGAAAATAAATAAAGGAATTGATTTATATTTTTGTTTGTTTATAATTTAGGTGGGAGACCTACCTGATGCAGATATTAAACCTCCAGAAAATGTTCTGTTTGTGTGTAAATTGAATCCAGTGACCACAGATGAGGATTTGGAGATAATATTCTCAAGATTTGGGCCAATAAGAAGGTAATCTCTAGAATTAGTGAAAGATTTTAGGAAAACTAGGTATTAATTTGTGGCTTTCTAATGACATATTTTCAATGAAGCTATGAATTCTAGGTGAATTTTGTACAGGTGAATTTTACAGTTGAATCCTTGGGACAGAGGGAAGAAAAATAATGTATGTATATGTGTATAAGTATATATAAGAATATATATATGTGTGTGTGTGTGTGTGTGTGTGTGTGTGTATATTTACACACAGTATATATATAATTGAATGATTTCCAACACATTTTCACAGGAGGTGGATGGAACAGTTTAAATCTAGTACTAAAAACATTTATCTCATTTATATTCTCCTTAGAATTACCAGCAATCTGTATCAAAATTAATTTGAATCTAAATTTTCCCAAATATTTCTTTTGGCTAATTTCCTCTGCATTGTTAATGCAAAAGTCTACTAAGTTAGTATTCCTGTGAGAAAGGGAAATATTTTATAATTAATTAAAAAGTATTAATTTGTGGCCCTGGCAGGGTGGCTCAGTTGGTTGGAGCATCATCCCATATACCAAAAGGTTGCGGGTTAGATCCCAGTTAGATGCGTACAGGAAGCAACTGATTGATGTTTTTCTCTCACAGCGATGTTTCTCTCTCTCACTTTCTCTCTCTTTCAAATCAATTTAAAAAAATTTTTATTTTATGTTTAGAATTTCATTTCATGTTTTTCTCCCATGAAGCCATTCTTAACTCTTCCTGTTGAAATAAAAATCTTTCTGTAAATGATTACCCAACTTTATTCCTTCACCTACTTACAACATCATATTTATAAAAAATATTCCTATATTGCTGCTTTTTATTTTTCAGTTTTAGACATATGCTGACTTCCTGCTAAACAAGATGAGGATTTTACCTCTATTAGTAACATCCCATGTTCATTCTTTCTTCCAACTACTTTGGTTATGTCATAATTATGGTTAGGTCATTGTTCAATATTTACATTTTAATGTGTATGTAACTACTGTAACAGCTGAACCATTTTCTTTAATGGGATTATTTTTCCTTTTTCTCATAAAGTCTTATTTTCTTGTTCCAGTTAATGTAAAATGAGACTTAGGATATGTCAGGAAAGGGACAAGCCGGTCCTTTCAGTTCAACTTCATTGGCCCTTTCTCTTGGTTGTTAAGGTGGATTAGTTCTGTAGACTAGCTATACTGTGGGGTTAAATTTGAGCTTGGTTTATATTAAAATTCAAAAACTCCAAAGCATAAACTTACTAAACATGTGCTATATATGTATGAATGTGCATACATTATCCTAATAGTAACATTAGATATTCTATAATTTATCTACATTTGGGGACTAGAAATGAATTATGATTTAAAAAACTTTTTAGCAGTAGTTTACTTTTGTTATAGGCAAATTAAATATTTTTATCTTATTCTTCCTTCAGTTCTTCGGGAATTTAGGGCTGCAGGCCTATATAGGGCATTTAGAGTAGAATTAGATAATGTGATTACTAGGCTGGTGAACTATTTAAAAAATTGTTATTGGAAAAATTTAACTTTGTCTTTTAATAACTGTCTTATTTCGTTCTTCACTTATGAAGAGTGAGAGTGAATGCTTTTTTAAAAAGTCACTTCTCCCAAACTTTCTTTCAGTTGTGAAGTTATTCGAGATTGGAAGACAGGAGAATCCCTCTGTTATGCTTTTATTGAATTTGAAAAGGTAGGTCATAATATAGATCTATTAAGTTTGGTATTTTTTTGTTCTTTTATGGTTTAAAAATGTAAAAATTGCAAGAACTTGTCTAGTCCCTAAGATTAGGAAATTATTGTGCCCTTTCTTTAGGCACCAAAGAAAACTAACTGTATTATAGTCAAATAGGGGATAAATTCAACATCTGTTGATGTTAATGTATGTACCTTTACATTAGATTCACATGCAGTCTGTGTTTGTGAATCTTGAAAACTTTAAAGTTTTAGGTAAAGTCCTTCACACTCTATCAATGATTTTTCAGTGTTATTTAGATAGATATAATCGAGTAACGAAAAAGAACTGGACTGGGTGTTAAGTTCTAGATATTAATCTGAGCTTTGTCACTGATCAGCTATTGTATGACATTTGGCAGTTTAGAAATCTTATTTCCAGGTGTTAACGTCCTTATAAATAAAGCTTGTGTATTGGATTAGATGGTACCTTCTAGGTCTAAAATAATAATGATAACTTATGTTACTTAAATAACTTTCTTTAAGCCAGACATTATGCTACTTGCTATGCATTTAATCTTTACAGCTCTGTGAGATAGGTACTGCCCTCCTTTCCAAATAAGTAAATTGAAACACATAGTGATAACGTGACTTATTTAAGATCATGTCATACCTGGGATTTGAACTTTCATATGTGTGAACTTAAATAAGTTCACATTGCTTTTTGCCACTATGCTAGGTAAGGCTATTTTTTAATGTAGCTTTGGACTGATATGTGTCCAATAGTAGTTCATTCTAAATTATAGTTATCCCAAAGTATTTATTGAACCCCTTTTATATATCAGTGTGATAAGTCCTAGGACTACAAGATGAATAATGGAGGGTTGGGAAGACAGACACCTAACAAATTTTACCTAGATATTGTTGGGTGTACCAGAAATGGTATCTACAAGGTACATTGGTGCTTTGGGTTACTATGGATACTTCTTATAGACCTGACAGTGTCATTCCATCATTGACACTATAGGATATATTATTTATTTACTCACAAATATAATTTCATTTCATTTATAGCACATAGACTATTGACTGCCTATGTTTTTTCAGTCTTCTGCAGATATACCATTTTCCATGAATATGTAGTGCAGTTCAACTTTATAGAATCTATGAGTTCTTTATCATGATTCAGCATTTCTGTTTTTGAGGTGGATCTTTTGTGACCTTTATCATTTCTTGAAAATCAGATTAAGCTACATCCTTCTGCTTCATAATTTCTCATGGCCCGTAGCCTCTTTGTAAGTGTTCATCATTTAGTTTGTATTTTTGCATGTATGGCAAGTTCTATATGTTTTGGATAATCTGATCCCCCAATTTTTTAAACTGAAGAGTAAAACACATACAGAAAATGTACAGCTCATGAGTAAACAGCTTGACAAATTACCACAGTTATCATACCCATGTAGAACCATCACTCGGGTCAAGAAATAAAACATTAGTAGGAAAAAAATTATCGGGATCCCAGAAGCCCTCTTTGTGTCCCCTGCAGATAATTTCCCCATCACTGCGACTTCTGACAGCATAGGTTGGTTTTGTCTAATTTTAAACGTGATATGTCAACACATGTGTATACTTTTGTATTCAGCTTTATTTGCTCAGTGTTATATTTGTAAGATTTATATATGTTTCTGAATGGTGTTTCATTATAATAAGTGTGTGTGTGTGTGTGTGTGTGTGTGTGTTTGACACAATCTGTGAATGATATAATTCTCCTCTGGGTCAGCATCCATAATCAAACACAAAAGTAGTTCTTCATTGAAACAAATGAATAGTCATACTAAATGGGATAACTTAAGGCCACAGCCTCCCATTAGGTCAGGTTTTGCTGTCAAATGGATTTTAACCCCAGATTTATAAAAACAACTTTCAATTTTCAGGATATTTATGGGTTTTGACTAAAAGGGTTTGTGGATTTAGATAAGACAATTGGTGCCCTGCAGAAGAGGCTCTGGTTGAGCATCAACCCATGAACCAGGAGGTCATGCACTGTTCAATTCCCGGTCAGGGCACATGCCTGGCTAGTGGGCTTGATCCCCAGTAGGGAGTGTACAGGAGGCAGCTGATCAATGATTCTCTGTCATCATTGATGTTTCTATCCCTCTCTCTGAAATCAATAAAAAGCATGTTTAAAAAAAAAGACAATTGGTAAGTATATGTATGTCCACTACAATTGGACTGCCTCGGTTCAAATCTTGGACTCACCCTTGCCAACTGTGTGACCTTTGGCAAGTTGGGTACCTTTGTGAACTTCTCTTTGAGAAAATATAAGATAATAATAGATAGTACCTCATACAGTTGTCATCAGAGTTAATTGAGGTAATAGATCCAAATAATTTAATAGCATTTGGTTATAGTAAGCATTCAAATCTTCATTTTGTAACAACATATTTTGTATTTTCAGTATTCTGAAAAATTTTCATAAAGATTTAGTTGTGTTTTTTTTTGTTTTTGTTTCTTTTTGCCTGCAGATGTGGTTTATTTTGTTTGCACACAGTTTTTTCAAAAATCTAAATTTGTTGACAACACATTATGAAAATCTGGGTTTTAAGTTTCTTCTGCAAAAATCAGAACATTTGGCACTCCTCCACCCCAATTTCTCCATAGCAACCATCAGCTGGAGCTGTAGGAGCCAACCCAGTGATGTTCAACCTTGATAGCACAGTAAGATCACATGAGGCGCTTTTTCAAAAATACCGATGCCTGAGCCCCACCGCAGATCGGCTAACCAGTGGTCGGCAAACTCATTAGTCAACAGAGCCAAATATCAACAGTACAACGATTGAAATTTCTTTTGAGAGCCAAATTTTTTAAACTTAAACTATATAGGTAGGTACATTGTTAATAACTTAATTAGGGTACTCCTAAGGCTTAGGAAGAGCCACACTCAAGGGGCCAAAGAGTCCCATGTGGCACACGAGCCGCAGTTTGCCAACCACTGGTAAACCATCAATTTCAACAGCAGCAGTCACAGCAAATGTTTACTGAGTGCTTGGAAAGCACCCTGGAAAGAAAGCTGCCATATAAAATATATTCATGTTGGGGACACAGAACATGTGTGAAAATGATGATAAACAACCATACAAGATACAAGATCAGCTTAGCACCAAGTGTGGTCTATAAAGCAGTGGTTCTAGCTTTGCTGCCTATTTGAACTACCTGGAGGGCTTTGAAAAATCCTGATGCCCAGGTTTGCACCCCAGACCAATTACATTGAAATCAAGAAGGAAAAAAGGAACTCAGGCATCAGTATTTTTTTTTTAAAGTCGGGATCCCAATGTACAGGAACATTTATGCTTAATTTTTTTATAACTATAGGAAGAAGATTGTGAGAAAGCATTCTTCAAAATGGACAATGTGCTTATAGATGACAGAAGAATACATGTGGATTTTAGCCAGTCTGTTGCAAAGGTTAAATGGAAAGGAAAAGGTATGTTGGTTTATTTTTTTTTTTCCTGTTCTGTTTTCCATGGTGTGTGTGTGTGTGTGTGTCCCCTGATTTAGTGCTCTTAATTTGGAGAAATGCTCTTTGATAAAACTCCTGCCCTATATGGTTTTACATTGCTGTTTCCTAAAATCTAAGATAGAGGGGTCCGTGTGTGTGTGTGTGTATGGATTTTAAACTGATGATTAATATATTTTCTATGTTTGACTATATTATAAATTACTTGTAATTACCCACTTCAGGCATGACATTTTTCCAATTATTATGTTTGTGGTGGTTTGGTTCTTCTAGATGCAAAACCCCTAATATGTTTTGCCTAAAGTTTGTTTTATGTTTAGAATTTCCTTTCATTTCATGTCTTTCCCTGTATATATTTTATAAACAATCAAAACACTTCCCTGTGTGCCTCCAGTTTACTTTACTTGTACATTCAGTCTTGGGCCCTTCGGTAGGAAGCCCTCCCATTAGAAGCATTTCCTCATTTCTGTGGAGGAGACAGGAAAGGCAGGGCAGCCAGCAGGTCTGGGCCATGGGTAGGAGCTGAATCTTCCTCTGGCAGGAGACTAGGCTTGAGAGTAGAGAGGCTGCATGGAATGCTCCCTCCTTTCCTGCCCTGCCACTGTAGGCCAGTCAGGATTTAGGAATAGGTCCTGTTTTTCTGAAGAGATCATTGTTGATTTCATTTTTGGCTCTTGGGAGGAATAAAGGTGCTCTTAAGCAAGAATTTTAAAGCAGAGACACCAATCCCCCCATCTTGCATCTCTCAGCAAACTTCTACACACATCCTGCTGTCCCCTATCTGCTTGGTGCTCTGTTGAGATTTGGGGACAGTGTTTCTTTTGACAGATCATAGGTCTTTAAAGCCTCACTTCTTCCAAACTTGTAAGTTTCTGGCATCTCAGACTCAAGTCCCAAACCCTTAGCTTCCCTTGGATCTAATGTTCTCATGGATATAATGGCTTTACTTAAACACCGCATTATTTTCCAGTGAACGTATGTATGCACTGTGTTGTTTAGGATTTGAAAGTATGGTGTTGTAATATTCATGTATTTCATTAGGTGGCAGCATATGGCTACCAGTTAAAATAGTAATGGAGAATGAATTATTATGATTCTTTTGTTCTCTTCTCAGCCTTTTTCTAGCCCCTGATATATATGCCACTTATAAAATCGCTCTTGTATATTATACCTCTTATAAAGTAATTTCTGTTCTTGATTAATTAGGGAATTTTTCTTATTAAGTTTTTTCTTCTTTTTTTGATAAATAGGTGGAAGATATACCAAGAGTGATTTCAAAGAGTATGAAAAGGAACAGGATAAATCATCTAATTTGGTTCTGAAAGATAAAGTAAAGCCCAAACAGGAGTATCCTTCATAGGAAGCAGTTAGTCAGTATGTGTTGACCATACACTCTGTGTAGAGTACTGTGCAATATGTTATAAAAAGTCACAAAGGCTGTAGAAAAGTCCCTAAGCCAGATGGTTTGTGAAGGAGTCATTATGTTTATCTCTTTTTACTGTCTTATATATACTTTGCTTTTTCAGTGTATTCTCTGTTATATGGAGAAAGTTAGGGTTGAAATAAATCTTTAGCCTTCTTTTCCCTCCCTACTCTTAGGTTAAAGTTAATACTTATTCGCAGAAGATCTTCAGGTAAGATTCATATTTTCTCTATATAATTGCATAATTTTAAATTCCTCATAGTCAGAAATTTCTTTATTATAGCTAACCAAATCCTTTGTGCTAACCTTCCTTGGATAGTTAACTTTGGAGATGGTGAAGATGTGGACAACAAAATCCTGTTGTTCCTTACATAATTAGGCTGCTTCTTTCTGCTTAGTACATTGTCAGTCTAGCAACAAATACATGTTGGGCTTCACTTGTGTGCAAGAGGTGACTTATAGGATTAAAGAAATTCTTTGACTTGACCATTTTATTTAGGTTTTTCCAAGTTTTAGGTTGAGACAAGTAAGGAGCAATGAAACATACTGTTCATATTATGTCATTTTAATTTTTCATTGATGTTTTCATTATAAATTTATCAATCCACACATTGTAAAGCTTACTTCTTTTGGGATTCTTTCTTTAATGGTTTCTTTGTTTTCTAGTTTCTGTTGGTGTTTTAGAGCTTCTCTTTTCCTATACTGTATATGGAACATTTCTTTTCCAAGTAGTCATCAAGGAAAGATGAATATTGGGCTGATGGTTATGTACTTACTAGAGGCCTGGTGCACGAATTTGTGCACAGGTAGGATCTCTCAGCATGGCCAGTGATTGGGTCCAATCTGGGGGGCTAGCCGGCTGGGAAAGGGACTGCGGGAGGTTGGCTGGCTGCCCCCCCATTGGGGTTGATCAGGGGGCCAGCTGGATGGGGGAAGGGACTACGGAAGGTTGGCCCCAGCAGCAAGTTAACCAATGGCCAATTCCGTGAGGAATCGGGCTCCCTCCTCCCTCCTGTCTGGGTCCAGGGTGTGGGTGAACCAGATTCAGGGCTCACAGGGCCCCATCAGCAAGGTAAGGCACAGCTGATTCCATGAGGAATTGGGCTCTCTCCTCCCTCCTGTCTGGGTCTGGGGTGCCGGTGAACCAGATTCGGGGCTGTCAGGGCCCCAGCAGCAAGGTCTGGGTTGGTGCTCTCCATAGCTACCGGCCAGTTGTCCGGTCATTCCCTCCTGCCACCGGCAGACTCCCTCCTCTCTCCTGTCTGGGTCTGGGGTGCAGGTGTACCAGATTCGGGGCTGTCAGGGTCCCAGCAGCAAGGTCTGGGTTGGTGCTCTCCATAGCTACCGGCCAATTGTCCGGTCATTCCCTCCTGCCACCGGCAGACACCTAGGACCTGGGCTTCCCTCGAAGCCCTGGCTTCGTCCGGAAGGTCGTCCAGAAGGACGTCCAGTCTAATTAGCATATTACACTTTTATTATTATAGACTAGAGGCCTAGTGCATGAAAATTCGTGCACTCGAGTGGAGGGTCCCTCAGCCCGGTCTGCGCCCTCTCACAGTCTGGGACCCCTTGGGGGATTTCCGACAGGCTGCTTAGGCCTGTTCCCTGGGGGATCAGGCCTAAACTGGCAGTCAGACATCCCTCTGGCAGCCTGGGAGCCCTCGGGGGATGTCCGACTAATGGCTTAGGCCTGCGGGGAGCAGGCCTAAGCCGTTAATTGGGCATCTCTAGCGCTGCCGCGGAAGTGGGAGAGGCTCCCGCCACCATTGCTATGCTGGCCAGCCATGAGCCAGCTTCTGGCTGAGCAGTGCTCCCCCTGTGGAAGCGCACTGGCCACCAGGGGGCAGCTCCTGCATTGAGTATCTGCCCTCTGGTGGTCAGTGTGTGTCCGAGCAGTCGGTCCTGGTGGTTCTGCCATTAGGGTCAATTTGCATATTACCCTTTTATTATATAGGATAGATTTTTAAAGCAGTGTTGGTTGTTTACAATAGTTAAAGCATTCTAGAGGTTAGAGTGGGTAAAGTCTGCAGTATGTATGCCGACATAATCAGCATGAGGAGAAGCTTTCACTTGCAAACAGACCAAACAGTGAGATAAGATTTAGCCTGAAAAGATAAACATCAGGGAGGATATGATTGAAATCTTAAAATCATAAAAGGTATGGATGAAATACAGTTGAGATTTATCAAATCTTTAAAATTAACTATAGTTAATTTTAGGATAAATACTAGTAACTGCAGTTGGAAGAAAAGGAGTGTGTAGGACAAATAAAAGGAAGTACAGTCGTAGAGTATAAAATAGAAGCAGGCGTCTTTTCCCCCATAGAATTAGCTCAGGCTGAGAAGAAAGAATATGTAGTGTTACAGTGTTTTGAATTCAAGATGATAGATTACTAAGAGTGAAGAAAGGAAATGAGGCATGTTTGAGGATAAACCTCTAGCCCAGTCCTGTCCAATAGGACTTTGTACAGTGATGGAAACCTATTATGTCTCCACTGCCTTGTATAGCTACTAACCACATGTTTAATGAATTTAAATTTAAACAATTACAGTGAACAGTGCCTGCTTTAGGCTTTTGAAGTTGATGGAGAAGACAGACATGTCCTGGTGTAAACCACTGCTAATTATCCTCCATCGGAATATTGAACAAGAAAAAGGAAATTCATGAGTCTGACCCTGCACTCTGTTTCCTATTTTATGTTACTAAACAATGCTGGCTGTGACCCGCTAAATGGACTTCGCACTCCATTGCTGGGTCATGACCAGCATTTTGAAAAACACCTCTCTAAAGCCTTTTGGACAGAGGGAGAAGCATGTGAAAAGCTACACACGAAGATGAAATCATAGGCAAGGACTATTGAATTTGTATCTGAAAAAGGAGAAGATCCAGAAGGTATCCTGGAAACAGTGTGCTATGGTATGCCATAGTATAAAGGAGAAAAGAAGTCAGAGATAATCTACACTAATAAAAGAGAAACATGGTAATTAGCATACGACTGCTACCCTTCCCATTGGCTAATCAGCATATCCTTATGCAAATTAACTGTCAGCCAAGATGGCGGCCGGCAGCAATGCACTGAAGCGAACAGGGAGGCTTGCTTGCTCCAGTGACTGCGGACTCCAACATTCCCTGCCTGACTTGCCGGCCTCTCAGCTGCAACTCTAAGCAACTATGTAACAAATA